CGCAATTTGTCTAACTTTATAGCATGATTCTTCGCCACATGATTGCCACACCGCAATACCCGACAAAGTGGAAAATGTTTCAAGACAACATTCTCAGATGTGCTGTCTCCGTCTTGAATGTGGCATTCCACATTCATTTGATCCTTGACCATGAGCTTGAATACCTCGTTAGCACCGAAACCTTCTGCTGCTTTTGATGTGCCTTCATATATGTCATCTTGACACAAATTGTCACTTCCCTTTTGACAAATGTGACAATAATACAAAAGAGAACCAGTCAAGTAATTTCTGACAGTGTATGTGCAGTTTCGGCTAAAACTGCCTCTAGTCAGCCAAACTGCATCGCCACAGGTTACAGCCCTCTGCCAGCTCCCTAATTTTTCCTGATCCATATCTTGCATTTCCTTTCTGGCTTCCAAGCAAATGCCATCTAAAATGTCCTTCACATGGTCATACATCTCTTTTAGTGTCCCAAAAAAAACACTGTCGCTGACTGTATGCATTCCAAGGATGTGGTGAAACATTTTCTTATATATGGCATAAGATGCTCCAGAACAAATTGTAGCAACTTGTAAAATCTTAGATACAGCAGCATCACCATTCTCCCTCTGAGATGAGGTTTCAAATTTGACTTTGCAGCTACCACAGTTAGTACAGCCAAAAGAGAGTGATGCTGCTCCCCCCAGGCCAGCCAGTTCTATCGAGTTTACTTTCAGTTTACCTTGACAATTGGTCTCCTGGCAAATTGAATATTGTTCCACAAATTTGACCAACTGCGTAGTCTCTGTGACAACCATGCAATTACTGGAAGCATCTATGTGCAAATTACTCTTGCAAGGAGTATCGAGTGTAAATGTGCAATCAGGTTCACCTGGAGTGGGTTTTTCATCTTCAGTGGCACCAAGAACATTGTCCTCTTCCTCAGAAGGTACTGGTTCTTCAGTATGAATCTATAACAAAGAGAATGGAGTGACGGAACACAACACTTGACAGATAAAACTTCCTCAAAACATGAGGTCAAACATGCCCACTTGTTGTGAGAATAATCATTACTTATTCAGTATTAACAAGAGTAGATGATAGTTAGAGAGAGTGTCAAACTGCACTATGCCAGCTGGAATATGACCACGTAGAACTAAGTCACGTGAGACCTGAAGTGTGGGTGTACCTACTAAAAGCACGTGTAGAAGTTTGCATAAGGAACAGTGGAGAACACTTGCAGAAGCTTTAGACATCATACTAGTAAACTTTATAATCCTGCTGAAGCCTGTTATGCAGTACAGCTATTGCAGAGACTCCAAAATGGCCAGTAAACCTTGTTGAGCAAACTAGGCAGCCATTTTTTCCTACTCAGCCACACCCAGTATGCGGGAATGCCCAAAGATGTGCAAGAAAGTTCACACAGTCATATTCCAGCTAGCATAGTG